TTGGCAGGATTGGCTCGGGCTGGCATCCAAAAGCACATGACTTTTAAGGAATTTACAGAAAAACTTTGCAAGAGGACCGCTTACAAGTGCCTCATGTGTGTATTAGATTCGATCCCACGACATGGAGTGGAAAAACTTGCACACCTGGTTACCGTACTCTGGCACTACTACTACTACCGGAGGCAAGCACTCAGGGCCACGACTGCATTACCCAGTCAAGTCAGCTGCCGAGGTCCCACTGTTTTCCCACCACACTTTATCGACAGTCCGTCCAGTTTATCCCACAACACTCGTTTGCATGAATAGGTTCGGGTGGAAACAATGACAAATCTCTGATAAACCGCTAAACTCAGTACCACGAGCTACATTGAAAACAAATGAAAATGCAGATGTCTGCCGAGAAGAATATGTTCGCCATATGCAATCTATGCCTTAATCCATCGAGCTCTCCGTTGGGCGGGGCATGGCCCATGAAGTCGCCCCCGGTATTCCGCCCATACAACCAAACACTGACACAAAACGTTGCACGTCTGGGCCCATGTAAACCACGACACTTCCGTGTGGATTGGCTACCCCCGCTCCCCATGTCAGGGGTCCTCCCTCCTGCTGTTGACTCCCGGATTGCCCACGCACAAACGCCAAACGTTGGCGCAGAAAACAGACAGGCCATTGTAGTATGGCATCAAACCACGCATAACCCACAGCGGCTTTCAGTAGCAGTACTGCTTGGTGAATGTGACCAGCCGTGTACTCTGTTGCGCATCTCTGGAAAAACAGGCTCTGATAGCTTGCACCACCCTGCACCCCAAAAGGCGGGTTGACAAACACATTGCCCATCCACGCGTTGCACTCCAACAGACCATCGGATTCCATATCGTAATACACTGTCGCCCCAACACGTGTGTTAGCAGCCGCGGACGAGCATGGGTCCAGGTCGATCCTGCCAGGAGTGAACACCTCGCGCACCAGCTCTATGATACTCAGTGGGGTGAACCACTCCGGACTCTCACTGGAGAGAAACAGGCGCACATTCCCACCCCCTCCGCTTCGAACCATATGGACTCCCTCACCAGACTCGCTATCGCTAATATCCATGTCGCCACGTCGGGGCTGACGATGCGCTGTGCCTCCGGATCCATGTTGGGACCAACGGTGCGCGCTCCAGGTGCAGGAGTGGGTGAAGTGCACGGTAAGATGCGGCGCCCACTGTCTACGGCATTGGGCTGCTGCTCTCGCCGACGTGTGCGCCTGTGCTGAAACTGGCTGTAGAGGCGCTGATACTCCTCCTCTGCCGCCTCGTCCGACATGCCATATAGATGCATGCGCATGTCAGGTGGCCAGGCACAGCTGACGTCTCGCACTCCAGGTGGTGGCATGGGCCGCGCGACAAGGCCACCCTGCTGGGTGAGCCGCTGTGTCTCTTGCTTGCACGCCATCATGTGCTGGCGTGTTTTGACGTGGTTGATAATATTCTCGATGTTGCCAGTCTTAGCACCGATGAACCACCCCCTGATGCCGCCGCTGATGCAGCATGCATATGGGTCTATACCGCCAAGCTCTGACCAGTTTGTTTTGAACTCGCCTATACAGGGTTGTAAAAAAAGGGGGGCATATCTGTTGTCATATGGTATGATGTTTCATAGACGTCGGTATGTATAACATTATGCAATTGGGTGGGTGGGGTGAGGTGGGTTCCTCCTTTCTAGGTTGCCCACTCTTCCCTACCACACATCTCACGTCGCCACTTACCAGTAGCACCACGCGACTTGACGCGGGGTGGCACATCCTCTGCTTCGGTGATGCCGGCTGGTGCACTCATCGGGACCACAGTTCCGCCGCGTCCTCGACGGTGCCAGTCTCCGCGTCCCTGTGTCCCTGATCCTCCACGGCCCCCTCCGATGCCGTTTTGATCTTGAACAAGAGGGATTTCGCGTCCGAGACGGTAAGGCCCGGTACATTCCCTCTCAGTGCCATGGCGGCGCGAAGCGGGGAGAGCTGGAAATCCTCTGCAATGAAGGGCACATTGTCTTTCAAAACACCGTTCGCAAAGTTTCCGGTTGTTCTCGGCACGGCACGGGGACATCGCCGCCCCACGTCTCTAGCACGGACTCGCGCTTTTCTCTCTGATCAACAATCTAAATCTCTCACCTCGGAACAGTTCCCATGCTTCACCAACGGAGTAGACGCCTAGAACTTCTTCGAATTGACGACGCACAGCATCCACCCGTTCATCGTCCCCGTCCAGCACATCGTGGAGACACGTCGCGAGAGCCGCGACATCCGACTATAGACACAGCAGAGAATTGAATAAACCCCGAGTGAAGGCGAATGGCTGCAAGTGCACCATGGCGCATTTGCATGGTTGGAAGCCACAAAGCAAGAAAGGACATACCGCGTCATTTGGACTTCGTGTCAGCTGGTCTCGAGGGTCTCATCTTCCGCAGTGTCCTCCAGGGCGACATCTATAGCGGCCATTTACTCGCCACTCCTACCCGAAAGTAACCTATCTTCTATGTAATCAACGCTAAACGCTGAAGTTGGGTAGGCATGTAATACTATTGTAAGATTATCGACTGTGATACGCTCGCAACCCATACTTACATGCGCACCAAACTCTTGTTGTACGGAAGCGTGGTGTATGCATTAATTCGTGACAGTGCGCGGCGCTGGAAGTGCTTTTGGTATACTTATACATCTCTATGCCGTTGTTGAGCAATATCTAAGGCGTGATCCTTTTAAAAAGCTGAAGGTATTTAGACAGTAGGGAAGCATTTCTAAAAATCTCGGTAAACCATTGTTATAAGTATGCCAGTTTATATTATCACCATAGGTTCTTGTGTCGAACGGTGCTAAATGAACCATGGTGCATGCATGAAGGTATTCGGGGCGGAGAAGTCTCCGGCCTCTGCTATGGAAGTCCTGGAGAAACGTCAGCTTGATTGCAGAGTCTGTGGACGCCAGCACACGATTCACTTGTGTTGCTGTGGCCACCCAGCGCCATGCACGGTCCTGTACCCACAAGGTTGTGTTCAGGCGCTTTGTGGCTTTGATGGATCTAGCTGTGGAGTTAAGTATGCGTCCTTCGCAGCCTTCGCACCGGCAGTGTTGGATACGGATGCCGGTATGCAGGCCATGTTTTCAGACCTGTTGTCGCAGCGCGGGCTTCGAAGCACGGCGCCGTTGCCCGGTCCGTTACCCATGCCAGGCGCCCGTCCAGCGCGCCCCTCCTTCCTGCAACAACTAGCCGAGCGTCGGCGCCGTGTTATCGGTGGGATGTCGTGCCCTGGACTGCGCGACGAATGTTACGCCTGCCTATACGGCTGTTCCCAGGCGGGTGTGTTGGGGCCGCGGGACATTGAGGCCGCCATCATGGACACGGGCGGCGATGCAGGGCGCGCGCTAGCCTGGTACCCCGGGTTGTTGATGGCATGGCGGTTTGATAAGGTCAGTGCATGTGGGTCGGGCAAAGGCAAGGCTAGCGTGTTGGTCTGCCTGACAAATGTTAACCCACATGGGAATCCTGACATGGCGCCACAGGCGGATACATTCTTCCGGGATAATCAGCTTCCAGCATACTACGGCGAAATCGACTCCATCCGGTCCGGACGTTTGCAACAGGTACGCCGGGTCGCGTCGCTTTGCGCCCATCATGTTTGCAAGGGTGAGCGAGCAATGTGCATGCTTATGTGCTGTTGCGAACATAGAGTAGGAACCGTCGGTTAATCAAGTTTGTGAACCGCGGCGTCGCTCACATTGTGTGGAGTATATGTCGTGCCTAGATGTCAAGGGACGCATTGAGGCACTACGTTTAGCTTGCATACTGGTTCCATCTGTTGGAAAATCGAGGTGTTGAGGACTCATGCTCTGCGTCCATGTTGTATTATGGCGGGCGTCGGCTTGCACCCGCTTGCATCAACTGGATCCAAAAGTTCATGGGAAGACATCAGGGTGTTGTTGCCACAAATGCTTACGGTTATTATCCAAGTGCCTGTAGATCCTGTAGAGTAAATCTCCTGTGCCTCAGTAATGGCGCCAAAAGTACAACTGTCAAATGTAACCGCATCAGTTTCACGCTTTCCTTCAGCTCTCCTTGGTTCGTTCACCCACTCCCAATAGCTACGGGGCGCATCACGACGCGATCTCTATTCATAGTTTAGACTGTATAGGGGTGCATCCATAATACTCCCTGCAAGTCGTTGTGAGCCGTCCCATAATTTGAATATAGTTAAACTTCGCTGTCAACTATCCTTCCATCATACCAAGTCACGATCATCTTACAACAACAGCGCAGTGTGCCATAACAGGCCGCCTCATACGCTAAATACGTAGAGGGACTTTCGCGGGTATCTGTGCAGCATGCAACCGCGGAGACGCGGCCTTGAACGGCAGGACCGTAATGCATGGGGCTACCTGCAACGCTGTAGAAATGGTAATGTGCTGATGCGACAGGACATCCAGCGTGGCCCTCCAGGCTTGCGTTTTTGAAAGTCCGCATGCCATTCCTGCCTTCAGGCGAGGATCGACCAGCTGCCCCTCCCATCAGCCTGACCAGGCACCTCGTGGTGCTCGGTAGGGGAATGGAGCCTCCTCCTGGCACGGCGCAGTCTTTGACGGGCGTGCCCTGTCCGATCCAATGGGTGTCTACCGACGACGAACGTGTTAGTCGCGTGCATGCCAGCATCAAAATTCGATGGGAGCAAAGCGGCTGGCGTCCGCTGGTGTCGCTGGAAGTAAGGCGTCCGTGCTTGCCGTTGCCCTGAGCGCACAAACCTTCACCCGTGCAGGCGCCATCTGAGAACCTGCAATGCAGGTGTTTCACAAGCCAAAAGAAAGTTCAAAATGGGTCATTTAATGAGACCACTGAAGTCAACGCAGAATGCATCTTTATTAGATTGAAGACTATGTTTCAGTCTCCAACTGCCAGAATGCAGTCCAGCGCCGGCAAGCATGCAATTTATCTGTCAGCAATCCCCGATTGCATTTGATGAATTCCCTATGCTAAATTAGCTTCTAGCGCTCCGCTGCTACGTTGTCCATCCCCCAACTCAACTACTGCAGGATTACAGTCGCAACGGTACCTTTCTGAACGGTATTCCGCTCCAGCCCGGCCGGCAGACCACCCTCGCCAATGGAGATCGAATCTCTCTCGTGCTATCCATCAACCCGCTTGCGGAGGTGTCATATGTGTACGAAGAAGCCAGCTTGATGGCCCTCATGTCGGTCGACAGACCAGAGGAATGCGAGCTATTCAACGACTCCTGCGGCGGGAGCTCGCCCCTGAAATCATCACTGCCGCGGCCGCGACCACCGCTGTCGTATATCGACGGCGACGCTTGCCAGGGCCAGGTTAAGGTGCTCCTGCGGCCGTGCACCTCATCGTTGCCATGCAACGTGCAACGTGCCGTCTCCGCCGAAGCTGGGCTGGCGGCTGTGGCCGCGGCAGGGCCGTCATCACCGCACCCGCTGCATCCGCAGCAGCCATCCGTGCCACTGGCACACCTAAGGTCACCGGACCGTCGGCGACTGAGCAGGTGAGTGTGCGAACCCATGGCATCTCATCTTTTCAAAAATCCCATCACCCTCACGTATGCCTGCATGCCCAGGCGTCAAAGGGGTTAAGCGGACGAAGATGAGTACGCAACAATCAGCTTGGTACCTTTTTAGGGCCTCTCCTGGTGTTTGGTTCCTGGCAGCACCGGTAATCGGTTACGATCCCCTGTAACATGACCAACCACTGAAGAAACCGCTGGGAGGCAGGCATGCAGATAGCAAGCATTGGGAAAATCAGGCAGCTTAGTGTCAAGCCTCGGGACCTGTGAGCGGTTGCTTACCAGCGCGTTCTGCGCTGCTTCTTTTGACTCTTCGCCTTGTTTGCCACAATGTCTGATGGAGTGATAATTGGTGGTCGGGTATGCAGGACTCGTGCTTTTGGGTTTCTTGCTATGGGTCGTTTTCTACCCTGCTCTACTTTCCTGGGCTGGTTGCGGTGCGCCTTGGTTGTGCGGTATCGCCGAGGTGGCGCTGATCGTTACCGCTGGTTGCCACAGGACCGCGTCTTCAACTGCTGGTTTCGGAGGCCATAGCGGCGGAGGCGGCAGCGTCGCTGTAGGGACCGTACGGCGACGTCCGCGTCACGTGCCGCCAACGGAGCCGATGGGATGCAGGACAGTCGACGGCGGTGGCGGTGATGGCAACGACTTCATCGGTCCCATGAAGCACGGGATCGGCGGCAGCAGCGACGACGCTGTCGTCAGCCCTACAAGCACGCCCCACCGCCGCTGCTGTACGGCACCAGGCCGTGGTTATCCCATTAGCCACGTCCGTTCCGGCGGTGTTGCCGCCGTCACCGCCAGTGCCTCTACGTCCGCTGCGGCGCGTGGTGCCGCTGACTTTGGCCGCAGAGACGGCACTGTTCCCGGTGCCGTAAGCGCAGGGCTGGCGCACAGAACTGACCGAACCACCGCCAACAGGGCGACTGCCTGGGACGCCTTTGCTTTTATGGAGGCCGAGGCGTTTGCAGCACGGGATGTGGCGCTCATACGTTGGCCCAGCTCTGTGCCGTCACCTCCCGGAATTGAACCCGGAAGCATAAATACCGCAATGCCGCCTCCCGGAGCGGCCTCGGTCTTTGCTCCGGACCGCCGCCTGCGCTGTGCTCATTCACCCATCCAATCATGTCCGCTACCGCAAACCTCATCCCCTGCGTCCCCGCCAGCGTGTCCGCGTCAGCCAATCGGCCGCGCTCTGCCACCGCCCGTTCCACAACCGAGCCTATCACCCTCCCCGGCTGATGCTGCTGCTACTGCCGGGGGCAGCTGCGGTGGCAGCATGAGGTCTGGAGCCGGTTCCGGAGCTGGTCGGCCGCGGTGGCGGCCTTCTCGTCTACTGCATTCTAGCTCTCCTGGTTCCTTGCTATCGGATATGAAAGGGACGGCGGCGGAACATGACGCAACGCCGCCGGCGACAGGGCAGAAGCTGCAACGCCCATCGCCGCCGCCGCAAAGCTCAGCTCGTGACGCTGTGGCGGCTAACGTACAGGAGGACGACGCTCCTGGCATGGCGGCGGCGAAGCTGGTAGCGGCGCTGGCTGTAGAGCCGCGGCGTGGCCGCCGCCGTAATACTCGTACAGGGGCCGATGGCGAGGATGGCTGCGAAGCTGCCGGCGGCGGAGGTGAATCTAGCCAGACGACCAGCGAGGATGATGCACATGTGGGTCCTCAAGTGCCTATTTCGGGATGTGGCGCGTCCGCTGTGGCGCAAATGAAGTGCCATGCGCTACCATGCCCTAGGATTAAACATTGCTTCGCGTGTGTCGTTAAAAGGCACGGGGGAGATAAGTGGCGCACCGCGAGCTGTTAAGAAGCTGTGGTCGTTTTCGTTTTCTCTTTCGTTTCCTTTGTCTACTGTGAGGCTCTCTACCAACCAAACCTTTGACAGGCAGGCAAGAGGTAGGTACCTGTTGTGGCGCACTGCATATCTTTGGACGCAAGCCCACCCCCGTCACGCAAATACTAATGTTTTTCTATCACCCATCTTTTCCACCAGTCATTTTCTTTCTCGATTGCGTGGCGCCCTCGCGTGTCGCCGCCGCCCACGCCGCCGCCGTCCTCATGCGGCGACGCCGCCGCCGCCGCGGCGGGGGGCTCCCCCCATTGGGCTGATGTGCGTGAAAGCATCTGCTCAGCCGCCGGGGAGGTCTGTGCTGATCGTGGCGGCGGCGGCAGTAGCACCGACAACAACATCAGCAGCACCAGTGAAATGAGCGACTCCGTCGCAACAGGCGCTGCCACCGTTGTCACACAGGGCCCTGGCCCTGGACTGCTAAGGGGCAGATTTACACAGGCCGCGGGTGCCAGTGGCTGTGACCGTGGCGACGAGAAGGGGATCTCAGCTAGTGCTGCGGCTGCTGCGGCTGCTGCAACAGCGGCGGTGGGCAGCGACTCCTCGTTCTCCTGGCCTGCTGCTGCTGCTGCTACTGTCGCGCCGCCACCGCTGGGACGGGAGCTCTTCGGCAGTGGCGAGTCCCAGAGCCCGGACTGCAGGCGAGTGTGGGACCTGAGAAGTGAAACGTAACCTTTCGATCGCGGCTCAGGGGCCCACTCGCGTCGAGCTATGGGAGAGAGATAAGAGGGGTACAACGGGGGGTTGCTTTGGAGCAACGCTTTCCCACGCACCCTTCCTCGCCATAATGTCACAGCATTGCATTCGTAGTGGACAGGATTGGGTCGGGTCGGGCCGGGGTACTCGATACTGCCGAGGAGGACCTCCGGGTGGTCCGCATCCTTCCTGTGGGTGAAACGTTTGCAATCTGGAAAACCGACGAGAGGCAGCACCAACGTGATTAACCTGACTCCTTCGTCCCCTACCGTACTCTACTCCCTTTTTCCGCCAACTGAGGGAACGCCGCAAAGCTTGATTGCAGCTGTTTCACGACTCGATTTCATGATTGGGCTCATGAACCGGCCCAGATAGGACATAGCCTGGAGTAAAAGTCAAAACGAAACCACCTGGACACCTGCCGACCCTCAATTGCTCACCAACACCTGTTTTGCATCCAACCCATTATCAGCCGGGGTTTTCACGGATCTCCGCCTCCCGCAGCCGCCCGTCCGCCGCCTGCTTCGCAAGCTGCCACACATGCCACACGGGGTTTGAAAGCCTCCGCAGTGCGCGGTTAAGACACAAGGGCAACAGGCCCTCATTTCCATTGATTTCCATGGCTAGGATGGCAAAGTCATTCATTAGGCCATTGTTGCTGTACCGGGCTACACTCTTACCAACCAACTTGTTTGATGTACTCCCAACAAGATCGTGATGTGGGGGCAATTGAATTTCCACAAAGGCATGTGGTGCTCACCTTGGGTCAAGATGTTGAACGTCGCCTCGCCCCACTAAAATCGCTGCCTTGATGAACGTTCCCTCCTTGCCACATACAATACATCCCTTGGATGCACCTCCGGATGCCAGCCCGGAAAGCCACAGTCGCAGCTGCAGCGGAAAGCCGCCAGAGCAGGTGCGGCAAATCCGCCAACCCAATCGTCGGCAGACGCTGTATGGCGAATCGATCGACACGCCGTCGTCGTTCAGTCCGCAATCTGTGTCGCTACGGCAATTGCGATATACGTGGGAGGTCGCAGGGGCGGCGGCGCACAATGGCTGTAGTGGGGGTGACGCGGACGGCGCCGCCGCGGTGCTGTGCACGTCGGCAGCTTGCTCAAGCCATGGTCTGAGCCGTCAGGGGCCCGCTTCAGAAAGTCCTTCGAGGGCACGGCCGTTTCTAGGCATGTCGAGGACATCCACCGAACTCCGTAACAGTGCCATTGCCGCCGTCGGTGGCGGCACCGCAGCCGCCGCCAGCACCGACACGGGCAGCATTTGCCCGTATTTGCCGTACACGCCGATTACGCTACGCCAGCGTCTCTTGTCATCGTGCTATAGGGATGCACATACAACTGGAGTGGAAGGTTCTGGAGTTCGCAGCGTCTGCGATAGCAACGATAACTACGGCAGTGGCGGCAGTGACAGGGACGGCAGCGGCAATCCCCACAGCGCGCAGGGAAGCAGTCGTACAAGCGCGGGTAACTGGTCAAACCAGTGTTGTGGCGACTCCTGGATGGACATATCCGTTGATGGTTGCGGCCGCGGCACCGCTAGCGGCAACGATGGTGGCGGTGACGACGCCCCCGTGAGCAGCTCGTACAGCTGTGTCAGCGGTGCGCATCCTACTGGTAACGCCGCTGTTGTCGTCGGCGCCGCCAACGCAGCCTCAGCTGCCTCAGCTGCGGCGAGGCGGCGCTACTCTTCCCCCGACAGCGAAGAGTCTGTATACGACAATTTACGAAGCGGCATTTACTGCGGACGCGACACAGTTGAAGGCGTACTCGGCGACCACCATCGTGACCGGCCATCGGTGGCGGCAGTCATGGTGGACCGAACACCTGACGTCATACGGCGGCGGCGTGCCGTCGCGCTCGGTTCATACGAGTCCATGACGCTGGGTAATGACCCACAGAGCGTTCCGCGACGTGCACGTTGTCACATCCTCAGTCCCTCCGCCGCTAATCCTGGCGCGTTTCTTCCATCTTTGGCGTTGCGTACCAACCTCACTCCCGCGGCTGTTGCTTCTACTCATGCTACTCCGGGTACTGATGATGATGATGATGTTGATGACGATAATGGTTATGATGGCGCCGTTACAGCTGCTGCTACGTGTGTTGCTAGCCGGCTGGTGCAGCAGCGACACCAGCAACAGCTGCGCGAGGCTCTCGACTCGCCGCAGCCACCCTCGCCGCCATCACCACCATCACTATCGTTCGTGATGCCGCCACCGACGTCCTCGGGAGTAGCTGTGCGGCCGAGCCCAGCTCTGGCCATGCAACACCTGATGACCTGTAGCGGCTCGGATGCTTTGGACCCTGTGGTCCCAGGCACATGCAGGTCCGAGCCTGCCTCTGCCTTTTTCCGGTTGTCTGGCCTGATCTAGCTGTCTAGCTGTCTGTCTGTTTGTGATCTGATCGTCCTCGGGCTCAAATTCATCAAACAAACCACACCGACAAACCTGACCGGGCGGGGCAGGCTGAGGTTTCTCCCCATTCGCACACACTGAGCCCCCTGTCGCCGGACACAACAACAATGTCTCGCAGATGCCTCCCCCGCTCACCTTCCCTTCCCATTTCCCCATAACGGAATTCCATACTTTTCGATGCAGCGGTAGCACGACCGGCATGTGCCCACAAGCTACCACCCAAATACATGGGCCATCCGCAACCCCCACCCCACCCCAACCCCCATCCAATCCCCGCAGGTACTCCCCACGTTGCGGTCCTGAGGCGCTCCTGTGTGGCCTCTGCGGGGACTACCTTCAGAGGGCTATTGCCGTACACCCATGTGGCCACACATACTGTGGGTCCTGCCTTTCGGAGCACCTTTCCTCCCTCATGGCGGCCGGCTGTCGGTTAGGTTGTCCGGAGGGGTGAGAATGAGAGTGAGGGGTGTGGGGACGTCCGGCGTAGGTGATGAGCAGCGAAGGGAGGGAGAGCTCTTATCTGATCCTCTGGGAAGCGCCACGGAGAGGGTGGCCGTGGAGGGCACACAGCTGCATGTGGCCGTAGAGTGCGTGAATGCGGCCACACCATCACCTTCTCTTCTATCCAGCCTGCAGTGATTGCCTTTGCCTTTCAGTCTTTTATCTTGCGCCTCTTTATAGCCCTTTTGTCGCACCACCTCACCCGCACCGGGCCCAACTGAACCCTCTCGAGCTCCAACTTACTGACTCTCCCCTTTCCCCTGAATTCCCCACCATCAAATTGGATTGCTAGCTGTACGGTGTTCACACACTTGGCTGCTAACCAGCCTGCCAGACGACTGGAGGAAATCCTGGTTGGTCCCCGTCACAATGACGGGGGCTGTGAACAAGAAAGGATTGGCACCGGCAGCAGCGGTGGTGTCGCCGGCGCAACCGCCGCCGCCGCCATGGCACTGCCTCTGGGGGGGGGAGGTTTGGCGGCGACTGCGCTGACGCCAGGAGCGGCCGGGAACTTGGCCGCCTTAAACCCTGGGCCTAGGGACAGCGGAGGCAGTGGCACTGCTGATGCTGTGGCTGCTGGAGCGTCGAATGCAGGAGCCGAAACGCCGGCAAGATTTCAAACCACCACCGCTGATATCGGTGGCGTGCAAGGCCCGTCGAGCGCCGTACCCCGAGCCCGTCCGGAGAGGATGCAACACGAAGACTCCCCCGCACCGCACCACCGCAACCTTACTGGTCGCCACAATGCAGTACCGTCGCCATCCCAGTCGCCGCTGCAGCGGTGTCTGCTGTATACCCCTGCTGGCAGGTTTCCGCAGACCGAATCCACAACCACCGCCACCGCTGCTTCCGACGCGTCATCCACAGCTGGGAGCTACGGAGGTGAAGATGGCGGCGGTGATGGTGATGGAGCTCGAATTGGCGAGCGCAGAACCCGTCATCGTCGCGACGGCGACGCCGCCGGTGGCATCCTTCACGACATGGGCGCGCTCGGCCGTACAGTGGATGGCGGTGTTTCGGAGCTCTGTCCGCTGCCGGATGGCATCCTGCCCCTACCGGCGGTCCGCCTTCACTTACGGCAGGTACGTGATGGGGCCTATTACATTTTTCTGCGTGTAGGAGGATGAGATTTGCCGCCATTGCCGCCCACAGCCGCGCACGATGGAACGATGTCGCACGCTCCGTTATAGCTACAAGCTGCAAGCCACCAATAGATGTGGTTCCTGGTTGGGAGCCCTAGTCACTCACTCGCAACTTGTAACGTAAACAAATTAGGATTTACGCCTAGCTAGCCACACATCACCTCGTGCTCCCATCTCTAGCAGCTGACTTCGGAAGCGTATGCTGTTCCAAACACGTGCCTGCCCTGCACCTGGCGCCCGCATGGTGCCTCCAACCATGGTGACAACCGCAGCTGCCCCTCAGTGCCCCTCCTACCCAATTGCCATACTTAATCCCCCCTGCCTGCCTGTCTGCCTGGCCCTGTCCCTACCCACACTTCAGGCTGAGCACCTGCTGTTGCGGCTGCGTGGGGTGATGGGGTTGCGACCTGAAGCAGCGCCGAATGCGGGTGCAGTTCCAGACGCTGATGATGTGGCGGCTGCGCGCTGTTTGGAGTTGCTGTGCCCCCTGACACGGCTAGCCACCACACAGCCAGAGGTGGGGAGGGATTGGGGATAACGGGAGGGGAAGGTCGTGTAAGGTGTGGAGGCAGGGGTCCTCCAAGGATGGTGCTGGGTAGGTAGATGGGTGGGTGGGTGGCCGCCCGGTCAGAATCGGTCATCATTTAGGCTCTCGCTCTCTCCAGCCGCGGAGCCAAATTTTTGCTGCGTGCACACCTGGTGGCCACCTCCACCTCCATCCGTACTGTAGCCCTGTGCTGTCGCAGTGGGAAGCGCTGTGCAGAATGAAAAGCTGGCGAGCACTAGCCCGGCTAGGCTGGGTTCGGGTGGTCCAGGATTACGATTAGCATTAGGAGAACGCTTATGAGAGTTAAGGAAGGCGGAGGTGCTGCCAGTATCCCGTCCTGCCAAGCCTGCCGTCACATCCTCCGTCCCTTCCCTCCTCACCCATGCCTGCCGCCTCCCCTCCCTCCCCCCTCAACACACGCATACATGTATGCAGGCCCGTGAGGCCCTGAGTGCCATGGGTGCCATCCAGGGCTGTCTACTGGTGATGGAACAGCAACAGAGGATACAGCTGCAGCGGGATCGACAGCACCTCCTGGAGCAATTGAACCGACACCGGCAACGACAGCATTTGCCCCAGCAACAGCGGCAGCAGCACCACCACCAACAGCCAATGCCATCATCGCATGGCGGTCGCTGCAACTGCCACCCTAACTGCAACAGCTGCTATTGCAGTACAGACCGTTTGGACGTGGATCCAGAGCCGCTACGGAACCCCTGCAACGGCGACCAATCTAACGATGGTAATGCCGATGTTGGTGCTGGTGCTGGTGGCGGTATGAGTTTCCATTGCGACGAGCTGGACATCTCGGACCGGAACCTGGATCCCGCTGGACGACATAACGTTGTCACAACGGCGGCAGTGGCAAGCACGACGCGCAACAACGGTCAGGGCGGCAGCAGCTCTGGCGGGCCGCGGATGACCGCCTCCTCACCTTTCCCGCGTGCTTCTGCCTCTTCACCTTCTCCATCCTACGATGACGGCGCTAGCACTTGGCATTCTTCTTTCACTGCTGCTGCGGACCACGTCGTTGTGCCTTGCAGTGGCACGGCTGCTACTCCTGCCGCTGCTGTAAGCGCCCACCGTGAGTCCTGGGGCCCAGCTCCTGCGCAGACGCTTTTGGCTAAAGGCTCCACAGCTGCGGCGCCAACTGATGACCTGGCGGTCTGTCGGCAGTCGCTAATGGCGCAGCGAGCTGCTTGCGGCCTCCTGGTGGCGCTGCTGACGGCGGTGGGCCCGGACGACGGTTGCCAGCAATCCAACCAGTGGTACATGGCGCGACTAGGGGCAGTGGATGTGCTGTTGCGCCTGCTGAGAAGAGCAGCGGACACGGTGGCCGCCATGGAGACGGCGGCGGCAGCGGCGGCAGCGGAGGCGGAGACAAAGACGGAGGCCGTCAATCTTACGCTGGTACGAGAGAGGAGGACCTACGGTGAGGGGCAAGGGGTGCTGGACCATCTGCGGCAGGTGCAGCGCCGGCAGTGTTGGCAGCAACTGCAGTTGGAGGACGAGGCGGATTTCTTGGCGATTGCGGTCCTGACAGTGTTGCGGCTGATGGTAGCGGAGAACACGATGACTCAGGCCCATCTGGCGTGCGATGGCACAGCCGCCGTACTGGGGCTGCTGCGTGATATGCCTCGCAGCGTGGGAGTTCAGACTGCGGGGTTGCAGCTTGTGGCACAGATGGCGCAAGGTGCGATGAAGGAGGGGGAGGAGGGGTCCGGGAGAAGACGACCGAAAGGAGGGGAGAAATGGGTGTTAGGGAACGGACACAGTTGACGTGCGCATGATCCGACCGCGACATGTGGATTAAAAGTGGACGGGGAACCCTCCTCCTATTGAGCTGTTCAACCGCCATTTCCCCTCTGAACCTTCTTGATGATCCACCTACCTACCCCGCCCACCTACTCACTGATCTCACGAAGGTTGCTCCGTCCCGCCTGCAGTGATTTCCTTCCCGTCCTCCCCTCTCCTCAACTCATTTCCCTTTTTTGCCCAGGCAACATAAAAAACGAACATATTTTTGCAGTAAAGCATACAACACACATACATTGGCAGGCAATGTGCGCTTCCTTGCACTCCAACCTACCCGTCGTCCACGTCTAGAGGTCGATTGGCACCTTGCACTCCAACCTACTAACCCTCTTACCAGGTGACGACGTGACCCATACGGCCATCCGCCATTGCCTGGTGGAAAAGGGTGCTGTGCAGCTGGCAGTGGCGGCCTTAGGGGGCTGCGGTGATGCTGTCTGTGGAGGGAGTGGGAGGAGGGGAGTGGGAGCTGGCAATGCGGCGGCCTACCACTCTCAGTGTCAGTCCCAAGGGAGCTCGGTAGGCGACGAGAGGGTGACAGGCCGTGCCGGTGGTGGCAGCAGCGGCGGTGGGGCTAGGGGTCCGCTTTCGGCGGCGGCTCTGGCCGCGCTTAAAGCTCTGCTGACAGCGCCGGTGAGTGCCGTGTTTGCCCTGCCTATCTGTCTGTATATGAGTCTGGGCTTGTGCGGCTGACTATGGCCACATGTGATGAAGGAGCCGCTATTTCTCGCATCCTCTCTCTCGTGCCGTCCCGCACTGGAACCCAGCCACCCTATCTCAGAACTTTGTCAAATGAACAGTCAGGATTTCCGATGTTTAACTGCTCGAACTTGCCCCCGAAATTTAGCACGGAATAGTTTCCTCGTTTAAAAGCCCAACGCCCCGCTCCTTGAAAGTACTCCTTAAAAGTGCAACGAAGCCAAACGAAACGGGATCCTCTGTTCCCCTCAGATACCTGACTTGCTCCGGAAGGCACTGGCTTCGGAACTGCGGAGAGTTGGAGCGCTGGCTCGGATTAGGAGCTCCCTCCGGGAATTCGAGGCGGAGGTGGTGGGCTCAAAAGCATTAGTAGGCAGCCGGTGAGATCTTGCCGGTCAGCGGGTAACCTATCTGTTTGCCTGCCCCCCTTCCTTGTTGTCCGTCTCTGCCTGTAACACTCTCTGTAACTCAAAACTATTTGGGGCTTTGAGTGTATGGGTGGCTTTACTAGTGTTTCTTGCCAGTCATTAATGGTGGGCGGTAAGGGGCGTATTGCTGGAGACTGCGCAGTCCTGGCAATCGGGTCTCCTGCAAAGAGAGGCCATATGTTCGTCTGTGCGAGCATATGAACATGTGGGACCCTGCAGTCTCTCATCCAGGGACCCACGTTGCCCCACTGTCCTATGTGAAGAAGCCTTCCCGTGCTCCCCTCTTATCGAATACGGTCGCAACAGAGGAACTGGTCGTCGCTCCCGGCACCTCTCGCCCCCTGAACCCCCAACGGAGGAGGACCGCTGGCTGCTGACGACAGCTCGGCGATTGGAGAAGCAGATTGTGGAGGTGATGGCTGCGAACCACTGGTGGAGGTGGCGGCGTAGCAGCGTTGCATGCGGCAGCGGCGGCGGCGGTGGGGGCTCGTGGGAGCTTTCCTGGGGCCTGCTGGCCGCGGCGGCGGGGGTGGGCTTTGCGTTGGGCGCGAGCGCTTCGGCGGTAGTTGTAGGGGCTTTCTTGGTTTGATCGATGGATGATGATTATGATCCGTAGGCGTTGTAGCAGAGCATGGCAGCGTGTTGATTTGGTGCATACAGCTGCGCATTGCACGACAGTGCTCGATAGTGCAGCAGGACTTCCGCAGGTTTTGGTGGGGCTGACGAAATGCCGTAGACCCAAAAGCTTCATGGCGAAAATTATATTATATTTTGTCTGCCAAGGGTGCGATGTGTTGTTTTATTTTTTTTACCGAATAATGGTGAAGTGGTTGGGTTGTGGTCAAGACGTCGTTGGTCCTAGATGCCAGGCAGGGCAGGGTGAGCACAGGTGGCCGAGTGGTTATCGATTCCGCTTTCGCCTCCCGGTCTATTGTGTTGCATGATAGCAGGGCTGCAGAACGCTTCGCGGAGCTGTCAGCATCATCGTAACAAATCGACAGACATAACATTAATCTTACGAAGCAGATGGCGAAATAGTAGTAGCAGGTGATATTCTTTTGTCGCGGTTGCATGGCTCTTCTTTGCAAAATTGACTGCGCCGTTTGTGTATTAATCTGAATTACGTGACTGTGACACTTTAATGACACCTAAAGAATTCTTTCCGAATGTTATAAGTGTTGTTACAGTGGAACATGAGAGCCGATAGCAAGCGTTGCAGCCTAAGAAATGTTTACGTCCCGACTACGCCATCGCCATCGGTCGGTAGGGGATTATGGCTCGTAAGAAGCAGGCAGATTTGGTGTAGGAATGCAGCATGACAGGATCAAGAGGGTATTATGCACCATCAACTACAAATCACCGAATACCATGACTCCGAACATCCCCTCGCGCCGGCGTGCACGAATGCGGACGCTGCCTGGGCTTCCCTGCGGTGTGGGGATCGTTTAGCTATGCCCCTCTCGGTGCAGGCCTAAAACGCAGCCAGGGCCCACCAGAAACCACGCGTCATGCATCAAAAACCAAATCCAAACTGTATAGAAAATAAACATCTTGTTGTAGTTAAGCATGCATTGCACATTGGCAGACCGTGTCCGCTTTCTTGCCAGGTACCCGTCGTTTACGGCAGGGTCTGTTACACAAAGATGCCAGCAGTTCACCACGCCAGGCTCGAGAACGGCGAAGCCTCTCCCCGGCCTGCTGCGCTGTGTTGCGCTGCCGAACCACCTGGCCACAACAATACGCCATACCATACCACAATTCGGCCACACACGCACCCAGCTCATCTTCGTGAGGCAGATGACAGCAGGCAGCTTATCGTAACAGACATGCCGCGGACATGTAACCATAGATGCAAAAAGCAGACACTCCCCACCAAACGACTTGAGACGGACAGTCACAACCGACATGTCCTGTGGCCACACGCGCAGGATCATCACCAGCGCTCCGCAACTACACGATTGCAATTGCGGCCTACCGCTCCACTTCCTGTCTTCGTCGCACTCCTATCCATCCCGCCAGTGCAGCATACGGCCCTCGACACACTTGCGCCGCACTCTCATGGGTAAAACATACAAGAAACATAGTGCACACGCGCTCAGGAAACGCGCTCCGATCATCAAACAGCTCGCATGGCCCTACAGGCCGCAGCGGCGGGCTCATCCAACATGCGGCCTCATCCACACGCACGGTGCGTCACCTCACGCTCTTCTATACCTAACCGGCCTCAATCCTCCGTTTTCTGCCGCTGCTCAACGCTGGCCAGCTGCAAGCAGCTGCCCAGCGCCTGCCGCCGCGGCGGCCAGGACCCGATCCTGAAGCTGCTGCTGCGCTGACAATTGCTCTAGCGTCGCACTCGACTGCAGCGCCATGAGCGCATTGAAATCAATTGCGGAGTCCGCGTTCTGCTGAGATGCCGACGTAGTAGTGGGCGATGGTGAAGTACTTAACACCGAGCCCGCGTGCCCCGCCACGCCCTCATGGTGCGCCATGTCACCCGACGGTGTCGCAGCGTGCACCTCAACCATCGCCTGACCTAGCCGCTCGCCCGAAGACGGTCCGGCAACTGCCAGCACCTGGTCTAACACCAACTCCATGTCCGCATTACCTGTCCGCTCCGCTTGCAGTAGCGAAGTTGTCGCCGCGGCCATCTGCCCCGACGTTGACGGCAGATCTGCCGCCTGCGACTCCACTGCCGGCTGCACTGCTACTGCAGTTGCTGCCGGTTCTGGCACCGGCGCCGCCGCGGGTTTAACTACTTTTCGCCGCACAACCTTCTTCTTGACCACGCGGCGGCGCGGATGGGCCGACGGATTCGGCAAGCCTTGGCAAAGTGATCGGTGCGTCTCGCCAATTTGGTTGCTGACAACACGAGCCGCGCCGCTCATGGCCAGATACGTCCACAGGAAGTTGCTGTGCCCCAGGAGATATCGGTCCATACCTCCGACGAGCTGGTAGCGAGTGTTGGCTGAAAGAGCAAAGAACGCTGCGAGGCCAGCTGAGCTGCGGGCCACGTCAGGTACCGGCACGCTGGGCTCAAAGTTGGGGTCCACGTACTTCTGCCGCAGCGCTACGGCAGCCGAGGAGAGGAGCGAGGTGCCGGCACCGGTGAGAAGACCCACCGCTGACAGCTCTGCTGCCTTGGAGAAGAAGGCCGCGACGCGGGACTGTGGGGTGTATTGCCGCAAGGGGCCGTTGGCATCGAAGACGCAATTGGGTAGGCTGTCCAGCATCTGCAAGAAACACCCAAAGGAATAAGAGAAAACGTACGTCTTTCAGAGTGCATGAAAGTTCTTATGAATGAACGCAGCCCAAAGCCCAAATAAAGATACACCACGCGGGCCGTTAATCGCACGCCATTCGAAACTGTAAACCCGCCCCAAAGGCATCCAGTCAAGCGCAAGGTGGGCAACTACCATGCGCCAACAGGCTTCTTACGTTTGCCCCTGACTACTTGCCCTGACTCAAGGGATCCCACGAGACTACAATTCCGAAAGGACTCCAGCGAGTGGTACCACGTCAAAACCCAAATAAAGCCACCGAACCCTTATCCACCCTTGCCATCAAGCAGGCATGACGGGATGCAGCGGCAAGCCCTGCGCTACCGGCTTCCCCCTTGTTCCACCCTGCTCACCTGCTGCCAGGGGAACTTGTGCACAGTGCCATAGGAGCGAGTAGGCGCCACCATCCATACTGTGGCGCTTGTTGCAGCCGCCATGCCGATTGTATTAATGAGCACCATGTCCAGCTCGTCCTTAAACTTGTCGCCCCGTACGCGGTACTCGTAGTACAAGGACGAGCAAGCTGCAATGACCGACTCAATGACCATCTTCTGAACGAAGGCTGGATCCGCCATTAGACGTCCCACAAAATCGCGGGCCCACTGGGGTGGCGCAGAGCGGAAAGAGGACGGAAGGGAAGGGAAGGGGAGTAGTTGGCCAGGTCTTATGGCATGATGGGGAAGGAACCCTTCCTCAGCCCAGCACACGTGAGGACCCCAGATTGCTCATACAATATAGGCCGTTACGTATGCGCAACGTCGCGGTCACATAAGACGTAAAATGTAACCCTGAGTATGGGATACCGATCCTCTGTCGTGCCATCTCCGCAGCCCGCCCGCATCTCTTACCGCGGGCGGGAGAGAGCGCGACACAGTGCGTGTCAGATTGGGACGCACGTCCATGGCGAAAAAGCGGACAAGCTGCGCCGAGCTGAATAGACCCATCTCCACAGCTCTCCGAAGGATGAGTGGCAGCTCCGCGACCGTCCGCATCCATTCCGCAAACACCGCCCCAATCGATAATTTATCATAAGACTCCGGAATAAGGGTCCGGAAAAAGGCATCTCCGCCCTCGCCATCCCCCTCTCCGTCGCCATCGCCGTCCTCGTTGAAGTAGTCGTCGTCGTCACCACCGTCACCGTCACCACCACCGCCACCGTTATGAATATTCTTTCCAATATCACCACCGCTACCGCCATCATCCAGCTTCGGCGCCACGGCAGGAGGCGTAGGCATGACGAACTCCAAGCGGCTGCGCTCCATTACCGCCCCCAAGCTTCCTCCAGAGCCAAAATTCTGACCACCACCACCTTTAGCTGCAACTACATTTGGAACTGACAAATTGGGATCGAACTGTCCATTGAAGTGGCCCTTGTTCGCCTCCTGCGTATGTTTGCGGCGTGCGCTACGTGGGTCACCATAACGCAGCAAAAAGCCAGGCTACAACAACTTTCTTAAAGGCCAAAAGGAATATGAGCGTGTTCGCCCTGACAAGTTGAGGGACGCCAGGCAGCGTGGAAAAGAACATACACGGCGCTTGTGATACCCTGCCCATAAACAAGCTTATGCCAGGGAAAGGTGACCACACATACCTATCCATGCAACCCTGGAGATCCGGGAACACTCACCTCGCCAGGGTGAGCGACGCCCGCCGAGCATAGAAACGTGGTCGATGGAGTACGCGCAAATCCAGGCACCAGAAGTTTGGGTGGTCTAACCTTACTAGCAAGGCGCACAGGTCGAAGATGGCTAAGCGGGGTTGCCGGGGCAGAGCGAAGGCAACGTGAACTTTGCATCGTGGATAAGCTTTTAAGACGTTTCTTAGTTTGTGCCCTACAATTGGTCTGGGTGCAATGACTTCACAGTCAATTGGCGACCCTTATCGACCTGGGCAGGAAAGGGAGGGAAGGTGATGGTCAGGCCTAGAGTAAATGCCACATGGGACATGGCGCACTTGTACGGCAGGTCACTTCCCTCGTCCTCCTGATCTCCCATTTGGCAATCTATTGCGTATCTTAGCACGAAATACAAATCAAAACAATATTTTTTTCTCACAGTTGTAGCATGAGAATCCGGAAGCTGACAGCCGGGGGATAACGGTTCCACGTTGCAAGTACAGGCACAGCTTGGAAAATGCATGAAAGCAACTCACTTCGGCCTTAGAACTCCGCTGAAGAGTGTCCATGGATTTGCGAGGCAGCTCTTTTCCGAGACCGAATAACGCACCATCGGTATGAGTGTCATCGCACAGAAGCAGGGCCTGCTCAGTTAATGATTAGGAAACATGTTTTGCATAAGTTCAGTTTTTCCGTCAATGTATAGACCACAAGCACTGGAATTGGGCTTTGGATGGTGGCTCATGCCCGAGGAATACTATGTCCAGCTTTGGTACTATCTTTCCAGCCATGTCCGTACAACTCGAAGCCTTTCCTAAAATGGATTAGGCTGTGCGCTGCTAATTAGGCGCTGTACGTTCAAACTCTTCACGTACACTTGGGAAGGCGGGAGGGGTGGGGGGTTGCCCACCACATTGAACAATGGAACACCTCACGTGCAATGCATTCCAATCCCCGCATCTTTTAAGAGGTCAAGTCCAGCCAGCAATTATCAGATCTGGTATTCCTTTTCAAAGGGAAACATGCAAGATGGTGTTGCGGGCGGTCCGTTCTGGTAGCCCGGCCGGACCATTAGCTAATGGCCATGTGTTATCTGGTCCCACGTTCGGGATGGAAGATTCTACCAATCGCGACGGTAGGACCGACCGACCAGCCAGCGATTGACATGCCGTATGCAGACATATAAAGTCGCCTCGTACGTAAAGCTTCCAAGCTCCACTTTAAAAGCACCAATGCTTCAGCAGCCCTCAACAATCTTCCCACTGCCCATCGCATCACGCTACACCTGCATCTGCGTGTCTGGTATGCTGTTAAAACTTAAGCGTGCCGCCTATTCCAGAAAACGATAGGAGCATGTGAGGGCCGCATCCCGTACCTTCAGACAGGACAAACGGAACCCCCGAGCCAGCACAAGCACAAGCACAAGCAGCATCAGGACCAAGCCCACCCTAAGCACCGCAGCAGGAAGACGTCCACCTAACACATTAACTGCACATCCCGCCGCCACCTACCCTCAGCGTCCACCAGCAGATACACGTATATGCTCGCAGCCAGACAATCGGCCAACCAACTAAACAAAGCCAACCGTTCTGCCCATCAGTTAACCCTTGCCTGGATGGCTGTGTGTTACGATGGGAATCAACAACACCAGAGGGTTGAACAGAGGCAATCGCAGGGTAATCCAAGCGGGGTTCGAGGGAATGGCACAATACTGAGTAGTGCGTGTGTCGAGGTCGGTCAGTATTATTTGCGGCCCGGGCGCGTGTGCGGGCACACTTCGTCGCGACACCGATACAACCATATGCCGCCTAAGCTGCAGAGGCGTCGTCCTCTCCACCTAGCCCCGGCGCTCCTCTAGGTCCCCTGGAGCAGTGCAACCTTTCATGCCGAAAAGTCACCTCTTGTGGTACTGACATACACCAACACAGACTTGGCATGCATTAGCAAACTCATACAAACAGATGCACAGCGTGGCTTATGTTGCTCCCCGCAACAGAGATTGAGAGAGAGAGAGGGGGACGATATCAGGGCCCTAGGTGAAGAGATGTGGGCGCACCAAGAACAGAAAGCAACCAAAACTGGCAGCTGAAGTGTAGGAATCAGCCACAGCCCCCCATGTTGCCAGGCTTGGCCCCCTCACTTTGACGCCTTGCGACTCAACCGTCTTCGCTTCCGGATCTTGTGTTTTTTGATTTTCAACCGCCGCCAGGTCTTGGTGGTAATGCTTTGTGCTGAAGCTGCACACAGCAAGGGGGCGGAAGGAACTTGCAGGCCCTGTAAATGCGCTGAAACTCCACAGCGGTATGGAAGAGCCCCCAGAACGTGTCCTCGGCTCTGAGGCTCTGGGCGATATAAAGGACACATGCCGGATGACCCCTGATGCTCGTCGGCGGAAGGCTGAAGCCAAGATAAGATTCCTCGGCGCCGGGTCTCCGAGTCAGAACGTAGACTCAAAGGCTGCTGTGCTGGTTGTGAGCATGCTTTAAGGGCTGTGCCGAGGTCCTCAACTGCGCTCAAGCTATCCTGTCTTATGAAACCAGCGATGGTCCCAAGGCAGGGAATAGACGTATTTGAGCATGATGATAGACACTGGACAAACGGTCGCCGCAGCATCCGCTACACTTGCGTTTCCCCGACAGAACAGTTGGTCCAAAAAGCCTCGTTTGAGACGTTCACTGAGGCATCGCGATGCACGCCATCAATGCATGGATGGTATACAGTATTGCAGCTGATACCTTTCTGTTGATGGCAAAGCCCTACCGAAGCAGAATGCAGACTGGTACGGCTTCCGTGCAAAATGCACAAAGCGCGCCACGAGCACTTTAGGGTATTCCCTGTGTTTTTTTTACTTCACAGCAGTATTCATTAAGCCTGACCTGAAGTCATTTCGTTACAATCACAACATAGTCCAGAGGTAACGACTTTTGCCTTTCATGAACGACGTGTCAATAACTAGCACCGTCTCAACGCCCACGGAAATGGACGACCACCTCGTCAAAGTCGTGTTTGTGGGCAGTGCGGGCGTCGGCAAAACCTGCTTGATACGGAGGCTCTTCACTGACAAGTTTAGTCAGGAGACGCAGCCCACGATAGGTACCGTCCTTTTGCTTTTCGGGTGCGGTCGCGCATGCGGAACGGACTCAATTAAGAGGGAGACGAACCTGAAGCCCTCGATCTCCGGGCCTCTGCAAGCGGAGCCGAGCCGCGGACTCGGAACGACCGCGCATGCGGATGTTCGCGGGATGGCCGTGCCGACAGCCGGCGGGCATGATTGGGATTTGGGTTTTTTATTCCCCCTTAGCATTAATGTAATCTTCATGCCGTTCTACCCGCCGCTTCACCAACGTGTGCGTGTGTGTCAGCCATGGAGGCCTCCAGTCCGTCAGTTCACCCTTTCACGCCCTTCCCTCGCCCCGCACCACACCACACCGCACCGCACCCCGACCAACTCCTACAGGCTGCGACTTCCAATTCAAGCGCTACAAGTTCGACAATAAGAGTGTGGGAGTGACGCTGTGGGACACTGCGGGAGCGGGTGCGCCAAGGAGGGAGGGAGGGCGGTGGGGTGGCGTGGGGGCTGGGGAGGGGGGAGCGACATCAGCGACGTGGAGGAAAGGGAGGAGGAGGAGATGGGCTGCTGGAGACTGAAGAAGGGAGGGAAGGAGGGAAGGAGGGAAGTGGGGACCTGACCCAGGGGCGTGAGGGCCCGGGTCTCCCGGCTCCGACCCCTTTCTCTCTCTCTCTCTCTCTCTCTCTCTCTGTCGCGCTCGCGCTGCTGCACTGCTTCTTCCTCGTCTTACCGCTGCTGCGACTGTTGCTTTGCTACACACTACTGCTGCTATAACCTGATTCAGAGCGCTTCCAAGCAGTCACCGCCAACTACTACCGGGGCGCACAGGGCATTGTGTTTGGTGGGTGAGCGGGATGGAGAGGGTGGAGGGCGGGCGAGGGGTTTGTGATTGCGCGTGATGATTGCTATGCGCACCCGCCCCGCCCGGACCGTTCACATCTCTGGTCATGGACGGGGCTGCCGGCTTCTCCTTCCTCTTTCCGCCTTCTCCTTCTTGCCCTTCTTCTTTATGTGTAACCTGGTGGTTCCTCTTCCTCGTCCTTGGCCTCTCCCTTTCCCTCTGTCGTCGTTTGCCTAACCAAGCATACGTACGGCATCCTTCCGCTGTACCGGCTGCTGTCCTCCCCCATATCCTCAGCCAATCGAAAGTTGACGCAGTCTCAAGGTGACACAACGCTCCACACCTTGCCCCGCTCATAGTGCTCCCTGTATCCTACCGTCGTACATGTGTACGTGCAGTGTACGACGTGACGCGACGTGACACTTTGGACTCGCTGGGTCAGCACTGGCTGCCCGAGGTCAGCCGCCACTGCACCTTCCCCGAGGCCATCAAGATGGTGGTGGGCAACAAAATAGACATGGTGAGTGCGAGATAGTGCTATTGGAGGGGGGGCCGCCAGCTTTAAATGCAGCAAAAGTCAAAGGAAAAAACAGCTGCTGGCCGACGCCACAAGCACCTGGTGCGAGCAGAGGGTCTGGGTTGCGCGGGTGTATGTATGTAGGTATGGGCTGGGGGTGAAGGCTGGGGTGAGGTGAGGTGGGATGGGATAGAGTGCGGTCCCCCGGACCGTGCCGTACGGAGGACTGTCTTCCTAGCAACGGTACAACTACCGCAACCGTTACAACCAATATTCTAAAACTACGGCAGACGAAAGGTAATAAAAAAATGCCGTCACGCAGACAGCCCCCCGTCAAGTAGGAGTTACAAACTGATAACGACCCCATTGACGCTTGTACGGCAGGTGGACGCGCGGGTGGTTGCCCCTGAAGAAGGGGCCGCATTTGCCCGTGAACACGGTTGCTTGTATCAGGAGACGTCGGCCCGAACGGATGAGGGCGTGTACGACGCTCTGGTTTGGGGGTTAATAGTCAACATTGTGGATACGCCCTCACTGCTCCGAAGTTACAACCACGAGCGGTTGAGCATTGAGAAACCGCGGACAGGAGCTGAGGGCCTGGTCGACGGCGACCGCGACAGAAACGACCCGTGGGACAGCGGTCGGCGCGGAGGGTGCTGCGGGTAGTGATGAGTGTTGGTGGGATGCAGGAGGAGGGCGAGCTAGAGGCGGCTAATGAGTGGAGCGGGAGAGGTAGGCCCCGGGAATTGAAGGGTAGTGCCGTACAGATAGTGGTCGTCTGTATATATGTTGAGGAAGAAAGGAGAGTATTCTATTCCCTTAGGAAGAGAATGGCCCGGCTTGGGTTTTGGTAGAGCAGAAGAGGGAGTCGGAGGGCTCTCGGGATGTAGGTGTTTGCGTACGTAAGCATGTATGTACGTATGTATGTATGTATGCATGAATTTTATTTACGGTCGTGTGTATTCATGAGCGATTTGGCGAGTTGGGAGTGTCAAAACTGTACGGCAGGTGTACGGGAGGAGATGGCCAGATGCTGCGGTGCGGTGTATACCGTGTGTGGGGTGGCGGTCTTGCAATGGTGGTGTGTATAGGTGTGCTGGGGTTGGGCGCCTTTTTAAGAGGTTATGTGTGTGTGTGGGGGGGTCCCTTGAGGGGTTGTCATGGGAATGGTCCTGAGTCGCCTGAGGGAGAGTGACTGGGTGGGTTGTTGCCAATAGCTGCCACCGGCATCATGGTGGAATGTCATATGATAGCGTTGTGGAGGGGACAAAAAGCGCTGCGGGGCCCCTTCGGGGGGGTCAGCAGCATTGAGGGGAGTTTGGGCGCGACAAGGGTCAAGGGACGGCTTTAACAATTTACCTGCTCCGTATAGAAAAATGGTGTGCATAAAGATTTGAGGAGGCTTTTTTTTGCATGAGTCTTGGTTTACGCATTTGCATGATGTCTATCTACACTGATGTTGTACGACGTCGATGTACGACGTGTACAACCGTTTCCCTCCACGACAGTTTTTGGGGCGCAGCTGCGGCAGCGACGACTACTACTTGTCCTTGCATACCTCCGCCCCGGCGAAGCCGATGGACGCCGCAGCAAACGTAGCAGCAGGGTGATGCCGCAGGGGCCTATACATGCCGTACTGTGTCGTACGATGTCATGACGGAATCGAACGAGATGTCATGCGGGCAGGGCGCCAGGTGCGAGGCGGTGGGCGGTATCTGTCGGGCTTCAGATCGGCGGCGACGAAGGCGGATGGGGGGAGACACAGATGGTGCTTGACCGGAATTTATAGTTTGTGCGAGAATATTCACAGTCATCTTAGTTTCAGTGAGCCAAATCGTTAATGGTCAGTGAGTTTGCTGCTGCAGTAATGCTTGCTTGTAAAAGCAGCTGTCCCCGGGCCGAGCTTGTGATGAGCCATCGCGGTGGTTCCGTATCGAGTTAGCTGGTTGATGAAAAGGGGGCCTGGTGGGGTACGAGGTGGGTAGTTCAATGTTGTTAATACGCGTGGACTGACCTTTTGTAATGAATTAAAAAGGGTGGGAAGTCGCGTGCCGTCGCATCCCTTTTACCGGCGGGATGTCCCGTGCTGTGCCTTATGCTGAGGGCGAGGCAGGGTGGGTTCCGTTTATCCTGGCGACCTGAGGAAGCAATGTCCTGGACATCCCTTTCTCTAGGTTATATTGTTGGCTTGCCGGCTGGCTAGACTTGGCAAGCAGGTCCTTGGATTCCGTGCTCGTAACAGGTTCCTAACTCTAGTCGAGGTTTAGCGGTGGCAGCAGGAAAGGGGCTTCTAACAGCAGTGCAGGCAGCTCAGAAGAGGGATTCACCAATGATGACGGTCTGCTGGAGGCAGCACGGGACAATGAGTATGCGCAGGCCTTGGGAGCACTATTTAGGCTGCCCGAGGTGTACGAGGCCTTAGGGCTGACAGAGCCGCCTGCCTGCTTCCGACCTGTGAGCAAGGAGGAGTACCTTGCAGGCTTTCGACCCTGTTCGCAGCAGGGGCGGGCACCACTGCACAGCCCTTTGCATGCTGCATCTGACAGCTGGTGATGATACCACTATGCCTGTGTGAATTTGTGCAGCATTGATGCGCATTTCACTACCTAACCCCTGACTGGGGGTGCTCTGATGCCAATTGTTTTGTTTTGTGCCAGGAGAGCGGCAGTGAGTGACTGGGCGAGGCTAGTTGATAGTTGTTTTTTTCTATCTTCAAGACTGGGGCGGAAAGTCCTGCCCATTGCAGTGACCATTGCGGGTTAGCTGGTAGTGGTCGACCTCTGATTCTGACTTGCTATGATAGCCCCCAGGAGTGTGGCCTCCTATTTTGGGGGCATCGTTGGGGGGCAACCCACAACTCTGCGGAGCGGGGAGGTTTTGTAGTGACGTCCTTCATGAAAGCATGTGCAAGTGGTCACCCTTTCGCAGGCGCATTGCTTGAGAGTTGTGGAATGGCTTGGTGCATGGTTAGGGCATGCTGTCTGTGGCGGCAAATGTCTTTGGTCGTGGAGCTTGATAGAGGCCTCTGTTCTTCTTGGGTCAAGTGCGCGAGCACCCCTACTTCTGACATTGTCAGGGTTAGGACGTGTACATCTCCAGGTTGTACACCCAGGTCGGTGTGTGGGGTTTATGTACTTGCACTGGCAGGTGGTGCTTTTTTGGTTTGTGGAGATCTTCTGGTGCTTTTCCATATGGCTTTCGGCCAATTGGGGGCTTTGAACCCTCACACTCCTGGTTCTTTCTTGAGCATCATGTGTGGTGCTCCCTAGTCGGTCGCTGATGTGGCATGTCGTGTGTTAACTGCGCTTTGTGGGTGTTTTTAGCGCTATGGATTGCATGCAGGTTGGCGTGTGCCCTGGTGGGAGCACAGCGTGTGCAACGGTGCAAGAGCAGTTTGTCTATCTCCATCTCTCCTCTGCCTGAGTAAGCATTGGGTGAACATTACGGGACAGACCAGAACCATCGTTAGTTTGTGATGTGCTTATGACCCGGCCACCGAACACACAACAACATCTTGCACCTTGACAGCATGGTATGGTCAGTTGATGGGTGAGAAGAGAATCGCGTCTGGGGACGGCACGAGGACCGAGAAATGTGTCGCAAGAAGGTCACTGACCAGCACGCAAAGTGCACAGGGAATCCGCCTATACTGCTACTTGGTCGCGCGTGCCTTGGGCCGAACGGGAGGTAGGCGTGACTACTCTGCTGCTCACACAGCACACATCGGGGTCCACTGTAACAATCGCATCCTCACACAGTCCCGCACCAACCCCCCTAGACAATACAGCCCTACCGAAGCCGCATGAGTGAGTGCTATAACCCTATGTATATAGCGCCTTTTGAATATTTAAATATATTCAGTCCTGATGTCTATGAGCTCTGTCATCGTTACCTCCCATCCCTTGGCACGTACTTGCTATACCCCACCCGTTATACCCACACGTTCTCGTGTTGATCCGCTGACGGACCTGCGGCCCCAACCCTGGCTTGGTTGTCGGCGCGGCTCCTGCCTGATGTATGTCTCAATTACAGGGTGGTATCAGTGTTTTTTTTTTCGTTTGGGGCCTAATACCTTAGAGTAATAAACTGGGTGTTTCTTGCGGTTACAATTCCTTTTTGTATAGTCGCTGGGGGGGGGCTGCGCCCCCCCCAGAACCCCCCCTCAAAGGCTGTACGGTGTGCTGTAAACAACACCTGACGTCTGGAAACACACATGCCGTACCACCATCGTTCTGTGCACCTAACGGCATTTGCGCCAGTGTCTCTGTGAGCAGGGCGCGGAGCCACTTTGACTGTCCATAAACGTCGTGAGCACGCGAAGGCAAAGTTATATATATGTAAACTGTCGGCACCATCAACACCACTGCATGGCACCAGCCGCCGACTTCGCTCAAATCGCTGGATTCACTGACTTCAAGAGCGGCAACTACGAAGTGCCTATCCTTGTCTTCTGTATTATCTAATTCTTCTTCTAAATGTTTGGGGCATAGCGTCTGCGGAGTTTCTGAGCCGTTTGCTTTGGTCAAGAATGAACGAATGGCCCGTTGACCTAAGTTGAATGCAACAGCGGCTCCAGGATCCTCCACTGGCTCAGTTGGTCATCAGTTTGCTCCCCGATGAAGAACAGCAGGTCTCCTCGTTCTGGGCCGCTGACCACTCTTCGAACGGCGTCCTCAGCTGCCGTCCTGGATACCATTCCCGACCTTGCCGGAGCTACAGGATAGGCGCAACGCGGAGCACGATATCGAGGCTATTGAATATTGCTTTCTAGTAGCACGCGCGTGGGTGAGGCGCAAAGACGTTTCAGCACAATGCGTTGACAGAAATAGCAGGCGCGGGCTAGCTAATTTTGAAATCTGGTCGTTGGAAGCGTGAAGAG